TTTCAACGGTTTAAGATGTTTTGCAAAAGGAATTGTTCCATGCTACTTAGGATGGATAATACCACGGCTATTTCCTATATAAACAGGATGGGTGGAATAAAATATAAACAGTTATCTTCCTTAGCTAGCCAAATTTGGCAGTGGTGTGAGACACGGAACATTTTCATCTTTGCTACTTATATTGAGTCGGTAATTAACACAAGGGCGGATAAAGAATCTAGATCAAGATCAGTTGAAACGGAGTACAGCTTAAATAAAACTGTAACCTATCCCATTTTAAACTTCGCGGTCACAACCAGTAGCAGTACCGCCACTCTTCGGACCACCCTTTCCGATAGCGCCACCAGCTACCCCCGGACGCCGCCAAACGCTACTCTTACTACCAGGACGATGTAGCCTAGCTACCCCTTCCCTTTCCGGCACCCAGAATTGATATTTAAGGAGCCACACCACCAAAGGAAGGTAGTTGGTCTCTAACTAATAGCTCCTATCGACTGTGCATCCTCCGGGGTCTAGTCACCCTGGGGTCTGCCGCGATTGACGCAGTTATAGTTAGTGTACAGAATTAATTTAATGAATAGAGTTAATTGTTAAACAAAATAAATAAATATTATTACGTGTTTGTTTAAATTTAAAACCCCGTAATAAGTGGCGCCCAACCTAGAGGCCTGAACTTTTTGACAACGCCGTGCAGACGCGCACAACGTTGAGCTATGGCTCAAACCGAAGAGCTATTACGGCAGCTGTTTGACAGGCTTGTTACCAACGGTCCAGCTAAACACTTCACGCACTCTCCGGACTGTTTTGATGGAACAAGAACAAGGGAGGCCGTGGAAGACTTTCTTGCTAAGGCCGAATTCTTCAAGTAAACGGAAGGTATCACAGACGACAATGCAATTCAAGGACTTCCCTTGCTGCTACAAGGTATGACACACACATGGTGGATAGGAGTGAAGAGCACCATTCAAACATGGAACGAAGCTAAACAAGCCATTCGGGACGAAATTGCACCAGCAAAGCCAGCCTTTCAGGTATACCAGGCGGTTTTCAAGACGCCGCAAACAGAAGATCAACCAACGAGTCTGTTCGTCGCCCAGAAGAGGGCGCTTCTAGTCCAAGTATCGCCGCCAGATACGGAAGCTCGACAGATTGACTTCGTCTATAGACTCCTGAAGCTATCTATCCGCAAACGCGTTCCGAGGACTTCTATTATAACCTTTCTTGAACTAACAACAGCCGCCAGAGAAGTAGAAGCTACGTTTCAGGAAGAACGATGGCCAACTGAAGAGACCTCAAAGACGGACCGACAATCAGGAAAGAAGACAAAGGAACGGATCCGTTGCTCCTACTGCCGCAGTTTCGGCCACACCGAGGATATCTGCCGAAAAAGGGCCAAGCCAGAGCCGACCCGTTCTAGTACACTAAAAGAATGTGACCAGGGGATCCGGTGTTATGGATGCGGACAACCGGGAGTCTTTCGTAGAAACTGCACGCGCCGTGCTAAGCAAACAGAAACCGCTGCCCTGAACCTAGACTTCTGTTTCTTAACTGCGACTAATCCTGGACGCCCAGCGGTAACCATAACTATCCACGGGAACAAGGGTAGCGCTTATTTGGACAGCGGAGCAAAAACCAGCCTCGCCAGCACACAGTTATACGAAACACTAATAGGTGAGGGCTATACTTTTCGGCCTTGTCCAGTACAGATCACCCAAGCAGATGGAAACACCTCCGCACAAATAGTTCAAACCGCTACCCTACCAGTAAAATTGGAGGACCGGATAATTGATACCAACTTCATCGCCCTACGATCCCAAACCTTGCTAGGGATAGATTTCCTCCGAAAGGCCGAGATGGTTGTTGACTACAGCAACGATCGATGGTATTTCAAGGGGAGACGCCACCGAACCTTCGGATTTACACCTAACGACCATCCTACCGCGGAAAGGGATGTATCAGCTTTAATTACCGTCGCCGAACCAACGAACCAACCGGACACACTAGAAGGAATGAATATCCCTTGGGAAGAGTTCCGCTGTCCCCCGTTGATAAGCCCTTTACAGGAGCCCACCCACAGTCGACGAAATAATCACGGAATTCCCTTCCTGTTATGGTCCAGATTTCGCATCATACCAGCCGTATAATCCGCTTTCGATGACTGGATACATGCTACAGGACGCGAGAGAAACCGTGGACGCATATTGGAATGAAAACCAGTCGACTATTTCCCCGTTCCATTTTCCCATGACCACCCTAGGTTTCACACATCTGAATTTACGTACGGATGAGGGCCAACTCCTAACTACAGAACAACGCAGCGAGCTAAACACGTTGCTACAACACCACGAACAACGGTTCTCTGTTCACGGACCGCCGACCCCCCATACAAGGCACCGGATCTACACTGGTGACCACCCCCCCCATCGCTTGTCCTCCTTATCGCATGAGCAGTCCCAGACAAGCCATTCTGCGCGAGGAAATACGCACACTGCTCGATGCCGACATAATCGAAGAAAGCGAGAGCGATTGGGCATCGCCAGTCGTATTAGTGTCTAAACCAGATGCAAGCCACCGCCTGTGCATTGATTACAGACGTCTAAATGCCATCACTAAACCGGACGTGTATCCTCTACCTAGATTGGATGATTTGCTGCACGCTACGAGAGGAGCCGCCTATATGTCGACCATGGATCTGCGAGCCGATTACCATCAGATTTTGGTTCATCCCGACGACCAACAGAAAACAGCGTTTACCACTCCCTTTGGGATCTATCAATACTTCCGACTCCCGTTTGGTTTGCGCAACGCTCCTTCAACCTTCCAGCGACTAATGGATAAATTCAAAACAGGTTTAGGAGGCATACACATACTGGTCTATTTGGATGACATTATGGTATTGTCACGCAACTTCCAGGACCACATCACCGAGCTACGACGATGCTTCGAGCGCATGGAGGAATATCAACTCCGAATGAACCGCGACAAGTGTCATTTCGTATGTGCCGAAGTGAAATACCTGGGCCACGTCATTAACCCTAACGGGATTCGTCCCAACCCCGGGAAGCTAACAGCTGTCTTAGAAATGCCTGAACCTCGAAACATTCGGCAACTGAGGACATTTCTACAAACATGTAATTGGTTTCGTCGCTTCATACCTGGATACGCTGAGGTCGCACGTCCCTTATCCAACTTAACTAAAAAAGACGCTGCCTGGGAATGGAAAGAGCAGCAGAAATCCGCCTTCGGGAAACTGAAGCAGGCCTTAACCTCTGCGCCAATTCTTAAGCAAGGGGATCCAGGAAAGCCGTATACCCTCAGGACCGATGCGAGCAGCTACGCGTTAGGAGCCGTTTTACCTCAGGGGGAGGGACCTGACGAGAGACCAGTGGAGTATGCCAGCCGATTACTATCTAAGCCAGAACAAAATTACTCTACCACGGAACGGGAGGCTCTTGCCGTCGTTTGGGCCGTACAGAGATTCCGGGGTCACTTAGAAGCTATCGCCAGCTATCATCATAACTGACCATCAGCCCCTTCGCTGGTTGATGACACTCCGATCACCCAGCGGACGCCTGGCCCGATGGGCGCTCCAACTCCAGCCGTTTAATCTACAGACAGAGTACGCTCTTGGGAAGGCCAATGTTGTAGCAGATACCCTTTCCCGAGCTCCAAGAGAAGATAACTGTCTGGACTCCATGGCAGTGAATCTCATCACCGCCGACCTCCCACATAAGGAACCAAAACAGCTCCGAGAAGAACAGCTTGCTGACCCCGAGCTACAAGTGATTATCCGAACGTTAGAAGCGGGAAACGTAGAAGAATCCTGTAGATGGGTGTCCCGCTGTTACATTCTATCACATACTTTATCGCTACACTGCTTGATAACACTTCGATTTAAAATTCACAAATATATATACAATTTTTTATATTTACACATATACACACCAAAGCACACAAACCAAAATACGAGGACAATATATACAACAAAAGAAACACAATCAGACCAAAACAATAACAAGAACAAAATTAAGTAAAACAAGAGCGAGATATATACAAGAACAAAATTGACCAAAAGCACATTAAGGATGACAATAATTTAATATGGAGATGAAAGAAATAACCAATCGAGGATTGGATTAGATGGACTAATATAGGCGCTAACGTCTCCCTCTTCCTTGCCGCTGGTGGGTGGAATGCGCTGGGACCGGTATTTATATCTACTCGGGGTAGCGTGAAGGGATGGAAAATAGAGGGGTTGAAAGTGGGGCGATGAAGTGGGGTAAAATTGTTAAAGAATCACCAAATGCGGGATAGCAGGGGGTTGGGAACAAAATATTGAAAAGTGAGTAGTGGAAACGGGTTTGGCATACACGAAAACCTAGGGTTAAAAAAAAAGTCGCTGCGATAAGTAGAAATAAAATAGTAAAATAAGTAGCTAATGTAGAAATAGAAAAACAAAAGAGAGTGCATGAAATAAGTGAATAAAGGATAGAAAAGGAAAATTTAGAAGAGTCTAATGCAACAATTGACAGTTCAATGCTCATGGCATTTCACGGAATAAATTTTGTGGCAATTTAAGTATTTTACAACATGCTGAAGACGACAATGAAGAGGCCCAGTATGTTGTTCCCCGGACCGCCCGAGACAAACTGCTCGAGGAATTCCACGCTACCCCTACTGCCGGTCATTATGGAGTAGACCACACATTTCACAAGATACGCCAGCATTTTTACTGGCCCGGACTCCTGAAGGACGTCCGCCAGTATGTACGAAAATGCGGAGCCTGCCAACGCTACAAAGCCGATAATCAGAAGCCACCCGGCTTACTATAGACTCCTGTTCTAAAGCAACGCTTTGAGGTTCTCGCTATCGACCTATTTGGACCGCTATCACCAGGCTCAAACGGAGAAACCTGGATACTGGTTACAGAAGACGCCGCCTCACGATGGGTAGAACTATTACCATTGATTCAAGCTACCGCAGATGCTTGCGCGTGGAACATGGTAAATGAAGTTTTTCTTCGCTACGGAGTCACCAGGAGAATAATTTCTGATAACGGGACCCAATTCATCAGCTCAGTAATGCAGAAGATATGCTACTGTCTGGATATTCAGCAAAGGTTTACCCCCGTCTACCATCCGTCTGCCAACATGGTTGAGAGGAAGAATCGAGACTTAAAGACCCAGCTGTCCATTTTGGTAGGACAAAATCATCAAAACTGGCCAGAGAAACTTCCTAGCATCAGATTTGCTCTCAATACGGCCCGATGCCAGTCAACCGGATACTCGGCCGCATATCTCACTTTTGGACGTGAGCCACGCACTCCCTACGAGATCGTTCATGATTTCAGAACGATAGCCCGGAACGAAAATTTCATTCCCGAAGTTACTCCACTCCTGAAGATGGTTGCCACTTTCCAAGAAGCTCGCGACACCGAAGTGAAAGAACAGGATCGACAAAAAGCAATCCAAGATCGACGTCGTCAACCGAGACCCACCTTCGAACCTGGTGATAAAGATAAAGCAAAGCTATTGCCGGACGAACTGCCAAGTTCGCTCCTCGAAGAGACGGTCCATACCTAATTTTGGCTGCCAAGGGACCCTGCAGTTATGAGATCTCCTCCACCGAGGAACCCACTCGAGTTCTAGGAGTATATCATGTGTCTGCCCTTCGGCCGTTTACGTCCGATGGAACAACAGAGCCACAGCCTATCACCCCATTTCGTCGAAGAGGCCGCCCGAGGAAGAATCCCAGAAGCACGGACGAGACGTCCAGCGCTTCTGTAGGGGGAGAGTTGTAACCTATCCCATTTTAAACTTCGCAATCACAACCAGTGGCAGTACCGCCACTCACCGGACCACCCTTTCCGATAGCGCCACCAGCTACCCCCGGACGNAACGGTTTAAGATGTTTTGCAAAAGACTCAAGGAATTGTTCCATACTACTTAGGGTGGATAATACCACGGCTATTTCCTATATAAACAGGATGGGTGGAATAAAATATAAACAGTTATCTTCCTTAGCCAGACAAATTTGGCAGTGGTGTGAGACACGGAACATTTTCATCTTTGCTACTTATATTGAGTCGGTAAATAATACAAGGGCGGATAAAGAATCTAGATCAAGATCAGTTGAAACGGAGTACAGCTTAAATAAAACGAAATTTCTGGAAATTATATCACTGTTTGGTAGGCCTGAAATAGACTTATTCGCGTCAAAATTAAACGCTAAATGTGAAAAATATATTTCATGGAAGAGGGATCCGGGGTCTGTGGCAGTGGACGCCTTTACCTTAGATTGGTCCAAGATATATTTTTATGCGTTTCCCCCATTCAGCTTAATTACAAGAGTTTTAAATAAAATTATTATCGACAGGGGGGGGGTATTGTCGTGGTACCCTTTTGGAGTACTCAGCCCTGGTATCCTATGTTTATAAAATTATTAATTAAGGATCCAATATATTTAGGTCCTAATGAAGATCTATTATTGTGTCCTTGCAGAAATCCGCACCCCTTATGGCCGAAACTTACCCTGGTTGTAGGGCTATTATCAGGGAAGCGTACGAATCTAGAGGGTTGTCTGAAGCCTCCATCTTCGTGATGACTTCCTCCTTGAGCGAAAGTACCTTATCGCAGTATGATATTACTTACAAAAAATGGTGGGATTTTTGTAGGATTCATACTAACAGCTTATTGAATCCAACAACAAATAACGTCATTGAGTTTCTAAATGAGCAGTTCGAAAAGGGTTCGAGTTATTCCACCTTAAACACCTTCCGTTCGGCCTTAAACATAATTTTTCTAAACAAAATTGAAGAAAAGTTAATAAATCGTTTTTTAAAGGGTGTGTTTAGACTTCGACCAGTTTTTCCTAAATATGGTTTCACTTGGAATCTGGATCCCGTATTAGCTTATTTATCTACATTGTTTCCGTTGCAGTCCCTAAGTTTGCAAGCCCTCACTTAAAAATTATCCTCTCTACTACATCCTGTACAACTCACAGAATACAAACACTTGCGAAAATAAAAATAAACAATATCGCAAAGTTTGACAACAGGATCGAAGTTCTAATTCCAGAATTATTGAAGACATCCGGGCCATCCAGAGAACAACCCAAATTAGTTATTCCCTTTTTTACAGAAAATCCTCCGTTGTGTGTTGCGTCAACACTTTCATTTTATCTAGAAAAAACAAGTTCCTTAAGAGATAATATAAGTGAACTATTAATCACCCATAAAAAACCATACCGTGCTGCTTCTACTCAAACGATTTCACGTTGGATTAAAGCAACCTTGAGTAAGGGGGGTGTAGACACAACGAAATTCATAGCCTATAGCACTCGTTATGCTGCAACTTCAGCAGCATATAAGGCGGGAGTTACCATTAATATAATTAAATCTACAGCAGGCTGGTCAAAAAATTCCGAGATATTTTTTGTTTTATAATAGGCCAACTTATGGAGATTTGGAATTTGCAAGCAGCGTATTTTCTTGATAGAATTATGTTTATTATTTTGCTTTTATTTACAAAATTGGATTGTGTTAACTTTTACAAATGCTTTTATTTTCTTTGAGTTTATTTTAAATATATTATTATTCTTACATGTGGTTGATTAGATCGCTCATAGCTTTAAACAACTACCTATGTGTTCTATAAGGACCGGACCAGGACATATAATTTCAGATTAAACGACTTACCTGTAAGGAAGTTCAATCGTAATTATACTACTGGTCCGGACCGCATAGAACACCTCAACCCAAAAATTACTCCATCCCTATGGTTCGCGGACCAAACTAAATTTACAGATGTGTCCCTTCCCTTTTACAATTTCGCGATCTGGTTCTAAACCGCGTAATGATTCATAAGCAGTGAGTGGTGACCTCGGTCCCGGGGTGGGAGCTGTTTGCTTTCAACATAGTGGTACGTCGCACACCGAAGATTGCAACTACCTATGTGTTCTATGCGAACCGGACCAGTAGTATAATTACGATTGAACTTCCTTACAGGTAAGTCGTTTAATCTGAAATTATATGTCCTGGTCCGGTCCTTATAGAACACATAGGTAGTTGTTTAAAGCTATGAGCGATCTAATCAACCACATGTAAGAATAATAATATATTTAAAATAAACTCAAAGAAAATAC